GGGGATATCCTGGAAATATTTCTATTGATCTTTTCTGGGCATCATTTTCAACGGTGCCGGCTGCTGGTAACCGTAGGTGCAGGGCCGGCGCAACCCATTAGGCGACTTAAGTGGTTGCCTCGGGTGCTACAATTTGGGGGGGCGGTGACCGCGGCGATATTTCGGGGGCGGGACCTTCCGCCACTTAGGGCGCCAGAAAAGCTGGCGGTGCTCCTGAGTAGGTGCCAAGCACTTTTGAAATTGACCCCCCTGGTTTTTACAAAAAACTGACCTGAGGGTATCGCTTTTAATTCTTGTAGGTCAAAGTTAAATCAATCTCAGACAGTGTTCGATTTGGAGTAATTGGTTTAAAGAAAGAGAAATACATGTAAATGTTTCAGACGTGATTTTTTTTATAAAGCCATAAGACTGATTTTTGTTTTTAAAAAAGGCACTACAAGATCTGACCCAAATTTTCTCACAAAGGAAAAATACATAGGGGAAATAACTCATTCGGATGAAGTTAAACTGTCTCTATAAAACTGTGCCGGGTGCTTCTAAAAGGAAATAGATGTGGCAATTTGAAATGTGCTATTAAATGCCAAGATATAAGAGCACAGGCTTATGATGTTAGCCTATCTTTATTTCTTTCACATGACTATGATTCTGAACGTGAATAATACCTGACAGCGTCAGCAACTTAATAGAGAATTTCATACTGGTCATAATAATCCTTAGTGCTCATATACCTTTACAATCATTAACTGATTAATCTCAACAACACGTCTGTGAAATAAGTGATATCTTTATGTTACAAATCGTGAAATGGAGCCAACTAGAGATGTTAATTGTCATGCCAAGGACACACAGCAAGGTACGGGCAGAACCAGGGTGAGAACTCCTTTTCTAGCCTGCTAAATTATGTTGCTTTTCCTTTGGTGGATTGTATTAGGGGAAATCTTTAAAGGCCTAAAGGACCTTTCACTTTTTCTTTTTTAATTTCTGCTGTGTTTCTTAATATTACCAGGGCGTTGTATTCTCCTTCCCAGACACTTTTTTCTTCTGTCTGATCCTGTAGCAATACAAAATGTGATTCTTTGTAATGGCTAACTCTCTCTGCCAGGGAACTTGTTTGTAGAGTGCTGTGTAATTTTACCATGCTACCTAAGTGATGTTTAAATAATAGTAATAGAGAAAAATCTAGAAATAACTTAAAATACACTTTTCCTATCCCTCTACCCCCCCAAAATGTATTTATTTATTGTGATTTCTGCCAGAGTTCATAGGTTTGGTTATCTAAGATTAAAAACAAGTCTCAGTTTTCATTTATCTTCCTTAATGGGCTATCGGATTCATAGGTTTGGTCTATCACCTCCGCTGTTTCCTTTCACTGTGGAAAGTGGTACTTCTTGGTGATAGATTTCTGAAGAGCCTCAGATCAGTAGTTTCTTCACTAGGGACACCAGTTTGTCCTATTTTCACCTTCCGTTTAAATAGGTAAACTGAGAATAAATTAAAACAGCAAACTGGAATTTTCAACTGTGAAAACAGTGTGACTCATTTCTAATTGCTACTTGTAATCCCAACTACAACACTGCATAATAAGGCTCCCTACACCCAAGTCTGGGAGGGAAGACTGTAAAAGTCACTGCAGCAGCCCTATATCACTAACAAAGGGGGAAATCCTCCACTGGCTGGCAAAGCCCCTGTTAAGATTCGTTTTGCACCATGAGGGTGGGGTCTGAAGCTCTGGAACTGTGTGTGTGCAATGTGACCAAGTTAATGTAGGAACCTAAATTTGTGTATTTCTGGACTTCGTCCAACTGTATTACCATAACATTGCACTACTGTAGTATTTTGCAGTTCATATATGATGGTTATGACAGGTATCAGGGGGTAGCCGTGTTAGTCTGTATCTACAAAAACAACAAGGAGTCTGGTGGCACGTTAAAGACTAACAGATTTATTTGGGCATAAG